TGCTGTCATCCACAGCTAACCCAGTCTTTGACATGACAGCGTGCTTTCGGCAGCTATAAAAGCAGCCAACTCCACTCTCCTTTTCCCAAGCCACTTGTGTTTAGTTTCAACCAGACGGTTCATGGACTACTTAGTACTTTGAATATACTCAGGCAACCATCTGGCTAGCAGAGCCGAATCTGAGAGCTGATCATACATGTAAGTCTGGTTTGTCAGGCAAGGTAATCCTCTCGTATTTACACTGAGAGTTCCTAAGGTAACGTCACGTGCTTGGCTACCACTTAGCAACGTCATGCTGGGACGTATGCTATCTTCCAGCGAGTCTATTGCCTCCATCCCCCAGATGTTCTGGGGGCCACATAAGCTTTGTTCCATGCTTCAGTATAAGTATCCAACGCTTTTTTCCACACCATGAGTGTGAAACAAGTCTCCCCAAGGTTGCAGGTCTCGTTCATGGCTAAAGATTAACTTCAGGGCTAAAAATTAACTCCAGTGCTTGGTGGCCAGTCGGGCCAGGTTCCTTGAATTCTTAGTGGTGCATCCCAAAATGAAGTAGCCCTAGCTCGATTTCCTCAAGTGTAAAATGAAAAACTTGAATAAACGCCCCATGGCTTTTAACGGAGTGTTAACTAAAAGGAAAGAACACAAAAAGGCAATGCCCCCAGTAATGCCACGAGACTTTTTTCTTTAACATTTCGGCTATTCATTTGGCACTATAAAATTATTAGAGGTGTTGAGTGTTTTTATTTATTTAAGTAAATAAAGTAAACTGAAATGAAGTAACTTCAAGAATTTATTTGCACTTGTTGTAAAAACCATTGTGGAAAAAGCTGAGTTTTTTTTAAAGACATTCTTGCATGCAGTGACTGTGGTTACAGTATTTGTGGATAAGCCTATCAACAAATTCTTCCTCAAAGTCACTGTCATCATCTACTCCAGAATCTCTTTCTTCATCATCATCGGTGCAAGCAATTATTTCAGCATCAAGAGCTTCCTCTGGATCTTCGTCTACTGACAGTACGACAGCTGAGGGCAGTGCTTCCTCTGAATTAGATTGTGGGTTCACTTCTGTCGAATGTGCCACTGGAGCTGAGGGTGTCGTTTCTGGATCAAGTACCACAGATGCTGCATTGAAGTCGGATTCTGCAGCTGTTCCTGCTACTGGACTTGCAATTGGGACTGCTACACTTGAGGCAGTGGAGACAACAGTGTTATCGTTAAGTTGGCACGTATCATCGCGTGGTGATGATAAGAAGTAGTTTTGCTCTTGATTGTCTAAGGAATGCAATAGAAAACAGTATTGAGGGACTGCTTTTCATAGAAAGTCTCTGAAGACCGGGAACCCCTCGCTAAATTGGTAAAATACGCGCCAAATGAGAACATGGCCCTCTCATGTTATTTATGGCCTTTATCAATAAGGACGATAGATTTGATGATGGCACTGGTTGTGAGTGCATTAAAGCAATCCAAAGTCAACAGAACAACACAGTACCATTTTGCTTTAATCTCACAGGAAAACACACTTCGAAACGCGCACAGAATTCAAGACTCGATTCGACGATTACGAACAACGCTTGTGATGAAAAACGATAGTTAAGCGATGGTATATTAGCTTGTCCCTTTACAACAGTGAGTACTTGAACTTCTGCGTAGCTTGTATTAGACTTGTACCACAAGATGCACGATAGCTGTATGATTTGTACGGTTTCGAAAGCTATAAAAAAAAGGTAAATAACAATAAATACTAGAAAAACCTGGTAAAGAAAAAGGGCGAACTAAAAACTTGCGTTTTCGTCCTCTATAACGCCGGAAAAGAAACGATAACCGTAAAAACTACGTTCCGAAGTAACGACTTCACCGTAAGACATTTCTTTCCATCGAGCACATGGATTTTTCCTTCCCGTGACGAATTGCGAGGCGGCACGCCAAGGCGTACGTGACATCACGCGTGCGATCCCTGAGTCACAACGTAACGGCAGTAACACTGGTGTTACAATAAAGTACAATGCAGTCCTTTGTTTTTTTAACTCGTATCAAACGTGTGTAAACAATATGATATAAAAAAATAACAGGAAATTATTAATGATAATGAAAAGAAAAATGAAATGAAATAAGGATTCCAAAGAACATTTTTCTGAAGACTGTATTGGAATTCTTTTAGAATCGCTAAGTTATGAACTTTGTTGGGAAGACTGTTCCAGATGTTCGCGGCAATATAGTTAAATGGTTTTTTCTTCCACAATAAATTAAACTTAGGTAGAGCTAACTTGTAGCCTTCTCTCCTGAGATTATGCTAATACTGTAGACTGATAGATTCCTCGTTACCTAAGATTTGGTAGTTAGATGGTACTCAATATCTGTTCACAAGAAACAGTTTTACCATACCCTAACAGATACAAAGATATTGTAGTTATTATTATTTGGGTTTGTGTTGACACAGATGACGACGAATCATTTGCAGAGTACGTGTAGCTGGTGTGGTTGTGTGGTTTAGCTGTTTGCAGACGTGGAAAGCGCAGTTTTTTTCAATGATGTTGCCATTTTTTTTAGGCAGTAGTGTTTACTAAAAAATCCCATGTATCAGAGGGTGCATCTGAGTTGCTTTATTGTCTACAGGCAGCACATTATTAGGTAGCCTGAACACTGTTTGGCATCCTTTTGAAACCTAGGGAACTCAAGTGAAAATAATTTACCAGTTCTAAAGCCTTAACTATGACACTCTAGCAGCCTGTGTGCTAGGGTTCTAAAGATTGTTTAATACGAATATTTCATTTTAAAACTAACACTGGAGCTTACGTTTAAGGGAGGCAAACCACTAAAACATTTTCCCCTTCTACGTTGTCAATTTCTGAAGTACATTTGCCATATATTCTTTAAATTTGGATGGAACTAGCACCTCTGGTTCTAAACTTAATTTGGAGTCCCAAGGACTTGTCCAGAAGTATGAGCTTGAAATCAGTTTATTGCGGCTATTGTAGAGGTCACATGGTATCCGCCGCTTTCGCCCCCTATCGAGTTCGCCCCTTCGAGTTCGCCCCTACCTCATACCGTGTTCGCCCCCACACTTTTCGAGTTCGGCCCCACCAAGTCGAGTTCGCCCCCAGATTGAGTCATGTCTAAATTAGTTGCTATCGAACATTGCAAACAAGTTAGAACCAAGACAAGTTTTGAATTTTAATTGACCGAAGACAATTTTGAAAGTTTATATGTGCGTGGGAGCTAAGGAGACGAAAACGTGGTTTGTGATCCTGGTTTGCATTTTCTCATGTCTGGTCGCCATGACCTTAAAACACAATGAAGTGTGCAACACATTCTCTCAAGAAGTCTTAAATAATCAAAAGCGTGATCAAATCGTGGTTTCGTAAATTCTTCAGTCTTAATTTTATAAATAAAGCTAAACGAGGTACAAGTCTAACAACTTAAGCAATGCTGTTGCGGTGAAAGCGTGGTTTGCATCTTCTCAAGTCTGGTTGTTACGATCAACACATTTCGTGTTCGTTAGATAAACCCAGGTTGTTTTACATATTTTCCAGTCTGAATAATAAGCTAAGCAAAATGGTCGTCGCTGACGTGACATTTGGCACATTCTTTTAGTGCCTTCGTCACAAATCAACTCATCTGGATATCACTCAATCAAGGGGCGAACTCGACTTGATGGGGTCGAACTCGAAAAGTGTGGGGGCGAACACGGCATAAGGTAGGGGCGAACTCGATAGGGAGCGAACGCGGTGCAATTCGGTCACATACTGGCCATTCACAATCAAATTTTACAAAAAGTAATAGTCAGTTACGCCAGGTCTAAAATCAGTTCCAGGCAGGTGAATTCTACCTCCAAGTCTGTTTCACCTTGCTATCAGGAGAGGTGATTTTGTAGTTCCAACTACGTCTCTATTAAACATACTCGAATGTTGTTGAAGACTTTTAGACTGTTTCGAGGACAATCTTGATGCTAGGGGTTAAACCAGTTCACGAAACTCAGTTGGAGGGTTATATCATTCACAGACTGGTTGGAAGTACAATAAAACTTCCTCGTCTGCTGGATCTCTCTTTGTAATGGATCTTTGCTCGCTTTCCTTATCTGTCAACCTCCTTTAGCTCACGAGAATTGTCTAAACAGGACTTTCACGCACTCTTCATATCTTCTAGCTCTTCTGTGCATAGTAATTCATCTATTCATTTGCTTCGGTGCCTTGATTTCCTTTTTCAAGCGATTAGCCACCACCTTTGTTTTTATCATCGGCGCATGCGATTGAAGGGTATCACATTTGTCCGGGTCTGAGGAATAACGGATATACTGAGTCATGAATATAAAGGGCTTATTACCTACTAGACAAAGAGGCATATTAAATGATGGAATTTGTATTGATGATACTACCACATGATTAGAAGTATCAAGCCTTCCATTTCCCCCAAGAAGAAATTGTTCGCAACTTGAAACTGAAACTTTCTGGTGACATACGCATGGACGATCTGTACAATGGCTCGTCTTTAAGGAATAACTCCCTGAATGCGTTTGTAAAAACGTGGTGCTCGCCTCGTGACATCCATGTCTTAGGTCATGCGTTTCTGTTTTTGTACTTGGCAGAACTCTTCTGACGCAAAATTAAGGCAGTAGTTGTCAAATGTTTTTGCTCAGCTGTCGCAACTATTTTCGTTTACAACGGTTGGTGCAAAGTTCGTGCAGTTTTTTAATCGGTACTCAGTAGAACCTGGGAACGAGACTAGTGTTGCATCGTCGTGATCGGCGAGAAAAGTTGCTGTGTACTTCTCCGCTTTCAGTCGATACAACGTAGAGAACGATGCCGACAGCATAACAATTTTACGAAACATACTTACGCAACACAATGTGTTTTGTTTAGTCATTTTTATGATTGGATGTAAATAAAAGACAATGAAGAATTCAAATGACTGATAGCTTGACCTTGAATAACATAAGCAGTGTCTCTGATTACATAAAAGAAACACGATTGCTTAATATAAGGTGGTTGTATTGGGCATTGTCAGTTGGCCACGAGAATTTTAGTCATGGCCTCCGTTTCAATCGCAGAGATTGTCGAATCCCTCACCTTCGGGAATGTTCTTCTACTGTTGCTTCTACTGCTTTTGTTACATTACTTGATGGTAGTGTATGAGTTCAGGAACATGCCACCAGGTCCACGCTTGACGACGCTTCCAGTTCTGGGGAACATATTTTCGTTGGATTTGAAGGCGGAGAAACTTACGGATGCTTTCAATGGGTAAGTGTCACTTGAACAGTGTAACAAGGCTTTCTCCCAAATCAGTTACTTCAAATGGGCATTCTGTTTCAAATAAATAGTAGAACAATTGTGGTCGGGAGTGCATTGGTCAAGCTTAATTAATCCGGGAAAATTTGACTAAGATAACAGTATGTTCCGGAGCTGCTTTTGTCAATTTTTGGTACGTTAGTTTTTTTTACCTTTTCCAAATCAAACTAATGAAGACGAGTATTAAAGTTTGTTTTAGACTGGATAGACGAATTCGAAGTTACTTTTTGCGATCTTGTTAGAAAAAAGGTTTTTATTTTTTGTGTATTGCGTGAGGTCCGTAACCTTTAGATTTCTTTGCACAAAATTGATCGTGGAAATAATGATGTCGTTTACGTCAGATCTGGCCAGCTGACGTTGGCAGATTTTGGTGGTCTAGTTTTCTTTCGGTACATAACACTGAGACATGAAACATTTATTTGAAGTTGTTTTTAGCACAATAAGTATTTGGATTACATTGCACAGATTATTCAAGGGTCCCTAAACAATTGTACTCCATTAATCTCTTAGAAAGCAATTGTGATTTAAATTCCCTGCTCTCGCGCATATTCTTTTACTGCTGATTCATGCTCAAAGTTTTGGTTGCTAAGTATTTCTCCAACAGAAAGGTCGCTCAAGGTTTTTTGAATCGCAAGTGTCAACAAATGTCGGCTCTTACGTGGTGTAGAAGACACAGTATACGTAACACTCTTGTTTTCATTGTTCTCTTATTTCCAGTTGTGATGAAATTCTATTCTGACGTATACTTTGTTCTCTACACCAAGTAAGAGCCCAGATGTCTTTTCAAGTAAACATTCAAGGTCACGCTCTTCGACGAATTCTTGCCATGCAAGCTCTCAACAGATCGTTAAGATTTTTCGCTTTGTTCTTTTACTGCTGATTTATGCTCAAAGTTTTGGTTGCTATGCATTTCTCCAACAGAAAGGTCGCTCAAGGTTATTTGGATTGTGATTGTCAACAAATGTATTTTCAAGTAAACATTCAAGGTCACGCTCTTCGACAAATTCCTCCCATGCAAACTCTTAAAAGATCGTTGAGATTTTTCGCTTAATGACCTCTGAAGTCGGGGTCTTGTAGCTGACCCATACCAATCCTTCAGTTTACAATGAGTTCGTTGCAAATCGCCTGACTTCGTTCCCGGAGGGGAGCGAAATCTCAGCTATTAAATATTGTTCGACTGTCTGTAATACTGGGTATCTGTGACTTCTGTGTTATAGCTAATCATCTGCGATACCGTTATCTCTGAGCTCCAGATCTGATATTTAACTTCATAAACTTCTTAAAAATATATTATTATTGATTTAGTAGGAAGGCCCACTCTTCGGCCTGTCATGGAATTACGCCGTGACCGAGAGTCATAGATTTTACGGTCCGGCCCGATCTAACCCAGTACCCTAGCATTTGTTATAAGTACATCGCTCTTTCTCCTTCTTCCTTTGTATGTATTTGTTTTGGAATGCTCCTTTTAACATTACTGTTTAGCGATTGTGAAGTGAATTTGATTTTTTATCAGAACTTTTCATTTATCATTTAATCTTATTAAAATTTCCAAAATACTCTTTTGCTATTTTGTAGGTTGAAGGAAAAGTACGGACGAGTTTTCTCCCTAAAACTTGGAAGCTACAAGGTTGTCATGGCGGCATCTCCGGACGCCGTTCATGAACTACTTGTTAAGAAATCAGCTGATTATGCAGGAAGGCAGCAGACTTATGCTCTGTTTTCAATAACCCTCGGTAAGCGGTCTTCCACATTATTTTACAATAACTTCAATTCAAATTCATTAACGTATACTGCAACATAAGAAATTATCTTTCTTCGACCCTTTGAATTCTATGTAAACGTTCGCTGGCGCGCTATCCATTCTTCCCTTTGAACATTTACTCTCTGAACATTGACTACCCTTGTGACAGATAAAAATTAGGCGGTCAGCTTATTGAGAGCCGGGAAAGAGTTTAGGAACATATAGTTACCCCTTGGGTGAAACTGACGCGTCTAAAACAAATCTTTCAGGAGGGAAAGATGTCGTCTTTTCTCACTATGGCCCAAGCTGGAGGCTTCATCGCAAACTCTTTACAACAGCCTTACGCCAATACTTGTCGGATATTCCTCTAATCGAAAGCCGAGTATTAGTACAGGCAGAGAAACTGACAAAATATATGGAAGCACTAAAGGGAAAGCCTTTTGATCCCTCAGAAAGCTTAAATCGAACTGTCGCTGACGTTATCTGTGGCATCACCTTTGGAGAAGGATACGACACCACCAACCCAAATTTGAACAGGCTCCTAAAGCTTAACGCTGACTTTATGTCAGACCACGAGACTGCTCAGCTCGTGAGAATACTGGACTTTATCCCTGCAACACAGTACCTTCCTATTAAGGCTTACGATCGATTCATTCAGCCTTTCTATGAAATGTTCGATATCATTCGCATATTCTTGCGAGAGCGAGAGAAAAATTTTAATCCCGAACAACCCGTTCAAGACTTGATCTCGGGCCTTCTTCTCGCCAAAAAAGACGCCGAACGCGAAAATGACAGGGAAAAGTCCGCATTTCTATCCGAAGATTACTTTGTTAACACCATAGAAGACATGTTCATCGCCGGCTACGAAACTACAGGTACCACAATGAGGTGGGCAATAGCCATGTTGGTTAACTACCCAAAATACCAAGAGGATATTCAACGACAATTAGATGAGGTGGTTGTTGACCGAACACCGTCTTTGAATGATCGACCCAATCTACCCCTCATCCACGCTACCATCATAGAAACGCTTCGCCTGGGAAATGTGGTTCCGCTTGCAGTGCCTCATTGTACCTTGAATGATACAACTCTCTGCGGCTACCGCGTCCCTAAAGGTACAATAGTGTTTCCTAATACAGAGTCGGTTCACTTGGATCCCAAATGCTGGGAAAACCCGACTGAGTTCAACCCTTACCGTCACCTTGACGATGAAGGAAAACTGATCACAAACCAAGGCAATTATTTCCCATTTGGGGCGGGACGACGGTTCTGTGCTGGCGAACCCCTGGCTAAGGTTGAGTTGTTCTTGTTCATATCGTGGTTGTTACAGAAATTTACCTTCGTTGCTGAAAAAGATGGCTGTCCTCCTCATTTAAAAGGCTTTTACAGCTTTACACAATTTCCAGCTCCATATAAGATACGCGCCATTAAACGAAAATAGCATAAATATTTTTCAAATTGTCTAACTCCAGGAAAAGCTAGGAGAACATTATGTAAGTGGTTTTCTTTTTCACATTTATTAACCAATGATTAAGTGCATACTTCGTATTTCTCATATAACCCGTTCTGACCCGCGCACGCAGGCCCATAGCAACCATAGTGAAAGCTGGGCTGTGTATGGCCGGATGGGTTGAAGTGAGCCGGGCCGGAAACAGCCTTCCATTCTATATATCTTGGTTGAGGCAACATTCAGCGGTCACCTGATAAAATGCCAATTGACTGAGTTTGGTTCAACCGGACAGAAAAATATTTGGCTCAGGGGCATAGCGCACGGATTACGGATTGCCTTTTATGCCGAATATTTTTATTTTTGCTACGGTGAGTGCTAAGCAAATGTATCAGGGCAGAAACACCTAGTTGTTCGCGTTATTAAGATGATAAGCTTGGGTTTAGTCATATCTAGTTTTCCTTTTTTTTTAGCTTGTTGTGTAGTACTTTCCCAAACTAAGAAGGGCTAAGTTTGGTCTGATTTATCCTGGCCTCCATTGTTAGCGTTGCAGATAGCTCTGTAATCATTTATACGTTATGTGTTTTGTTATGTGTTTGCTACAGCTGATTTAAACACTCTCTGAGTATTTTAAGAACCTAAATCTACAAGGAGCATTCTTTATTATGCTGTATTAAGTTCTACTTCACCTCTTGGGTTTAACGACCGTTTTTTGCCCTACGTTTGTATCATTTACATGGAAACGCCTTAATTGTTAATATGATCAATATTGTTAGTAATAATATTTTCCTGATTAAAGCAAAGTTTATACCCACAGTGACATCTAACGTTACATGTCTATTTTGTGCACGAACACAGCTTACTCATAATGTCGTTTCGTTTAAGACCGTGGAGATAGGACCTTTCGCATAGTGGTGTCGACCACTTGATAGAGGAAACATAGGGCAAGCAACAAGTTCGATCACTAAAATATGAGAATGAGTCGCACAGCGATATTTATGCTGCCTTGAAACCTTTTTTGGACTCAACTTTTAAATCTTTTTTTTTAATATAAACTGAAACTGTAATAATTTTTCGTCGAGTAGATTACCCTTTTTCACTCAATAGCTATTCAAGGTACTATTATTATATATCACTTGATATCGGCTTGGGTTGATAGAATACGAACGCCCCAAGGTTATTTATCTGAAGGGAAATCATCAAGATAATGTTAAGTCATTAGGACAAGTCACTCATTTGTAACTATGGATTACTTATGTCTGGATTTTATTTGTTGGTCACTGTTTATCAAACAGGTCTTTTGTTGGCCCTAGGTGTACCTTCTCTAACTTTCTTCATTGTTGTCAGAGCTCAAAAAGGCTTTCTCTTTTTCAACCCCTCTCCCCTCCCCTCTTTCAACGAAGGCCCATACAAACGGAACAAAAATCCGGATGCTAGATCAAGCATTTTCTGTGTACTGTTATAACAACTTCACTTCGTGTTCATTTTAAATTTTTGATACAACAGATCGATACAAGAGATTTAACAGGAAGATCCTCGGTCTATGTTTTCACGACAGTCCGTCTACTGACAGCAAATTGGGCTGAGGCAGTTCAGATCTTTTTATAAGTTTGGAAATATTTTGGATATGATCTGGAACTGAGCGTTCCCCACATGAAAATCAAGATCTGCATGCGATGCTGTTCAGAGTATCCACCACTTTTTTGCCACAATGCTTAACAGATTTCTTTTCTACACTTATATTGGGTTTAACATCATGTTCCTTTGTCCAGTCTAGAATCCTTCAATTGAAGTAAGCAATATGTCTTTAAAAACAAATTCTTTACCTCGAGGAAATTTAATCAAACCTAGAATTTTCCATTATCTGTAAAGCTCGCTAAGCCTTGGATGTCAGAACACCTAAGTAAGTGTGTGTCTGTTTATACAGTCACGATCTGCTTGAATCAAATGTTTTGTCGACAGACGAACTTGATTAGCAAATCTAATCGCTTGTATTGCTCTGTAAGTGGGCATGTTTTGTTTTCTCTCGAAAACTCCAATGAAAAACAAAATTTAAATTCAAAAAGAAAATCAAAGATCTCGATTTTAGATTTATCAATAATCAATTGAACTATTTTTTTAAATTCTAACAGAAACCAAAGATTTAACTTCAAAAACGAAAGGAGCCTCAACAAGAAATGTTTAGAATTTGCTAGTAACTCTCTGTTCTAATGAATGCCACAAGAAACCCTTAAAGGTTTCTGATGTTGTACTGCATATCCTGGTGTTTACACATATTTATTTACACATATCCTGTGCTTGTGAACTTGGGGACCAAGAACTTCAACTTAAAACTTTCTGGTGACATTCGCATGGATGATCTGTACAATGGTTCCTTTTCAACGGATAATACCTAGCCTAAGTTTTCAAAACCAGCGTGCGTTTCCTCTTATAATACCCTTGTCTCAAATCATATTTTTCCGTTTTCCCACTTTGCAGATTGCCTAAGGAGCAAAATTAAGGCAGCAGTTGGCAAATGTTTCGCTCCTCTGTTGCTATTTTGATCGGGAACATTGATTTACGCGAAGTTCACAAAACTTTTTAGGCGTCAGCCGATGGAACCTGGGAACCAGGCAGAAGCACAATATTACCTAGATGGACGAAAAACGTCGCGAGATGGGTAGCTACCCTCAGCCAGTACAATGCAGTACAAGCATTTGTGCTCTAAGTCATTTTTATGATTAGATGAAAATTTAAAAACAACAAATTCAATTAACTGATAATTGTATCTTGGGTAACGTAAGCAATATCTTTAATTACATGAAAGAAACGCGGTTGCCTAATACAGGGTTGCGTTATTTATAATAGCATCACCAGCCGATCACGGAAATTTCTCATCATGGGCTCCGCATCAACAGCGTCGATTTTCGACTCTCTTACTCTCGGAAATTTTCTTCTATTCTTGCTTCTGCTTCTTATGTTACATTACTTGATGGTAGTGTATGAGTTCAGGAACATGCCGCCAGGTCCACGCTTAACGACGCTTCCAGTTCTGGGAAACATATTTTCCTTGGATTTGAAGGCGGAGAAATTTACAGAAGCTATTAAGGGGTAAGTGACACTTGAACAGTGTAACATGGCTTTTACCCAAATCGACTTTCCCTGTCTGCCTTGATATGAGTTGATAAGTAGAAGAAAAATTAATGGTTGGGAATCAAGATATTATTTCATTATCTTTTGTTGGGAACGCGTTGGTCTAGGTCTTACGAAACCAGAACAATTCAGCTGTTGAGAGCTACGATGGCTCTTCCTAAATATTTTAGCCATGTCTTCTCACTTTGTCCGAAACAAAGACATGTGAAGGAGGTTAAAGGTCTGAATCAATTCATTATTGTCTAATTATGGATAGAAGAAATCGAATTAACTCTCTGAGCTCCTGCGTAACTAATTTTCGTGCATTGCGTGAGATCCGTAAGCCTAGATGTCGGCGCTCTAAATTAATGTGGAACCAAGGATTATGTTTGCGTCAGATGTGGTGACCTGTCGTTGGTAGGTTTTGATTGCCTTGTTTTCTCTTGGTATGTAACTCTTGGATGAATCATGATGACACTATTTGAAGATATTTGCATAACAATAAATATTGAGGGGTACATTGAACAGATTAGTCAAAGCTGCTTAGTCAATTGTTCCTATCAACGCCTTTAACGACTATTGTGATTTGGATGCTCTGCCCTCACGAACATTCTGTTTCTACCAATTCAAGCTCTGTGCAATGGTTGCTCTGTATTTTTCAAACACAAGGCTCGCTCGAGGTTGTTTAAGTGATGAGTGTTGATAAATGTCTCTTTAAGTAAACATTCAGGGTCACGCTCTTCGTAAAAATTTTTGTAATGTGACTCTTAGTACAGCGTGAAGAATATTCGCCTTATTGGGGTGTTACGAAACTATGGATCGGCACACTGCGGAAACTGTGGAATCTCCGGAACTCATTCCTTTATTTTTGTATGAAAATAAGAAGTAAACTGTTGAAAATTACATGTTCGGGTAGAAGGAAGTTACATTAAAAGAGATGTTTTTATCGTCTTTGACGTCCAACAGAAAAAAGTGACTATAATTGTGGGAAAATTCATTGCGGGATATTCCCGATCAGCTGAGCAAAGCCACATTGAATGTTCTATTCCCCACTATCCGATCAACATGGCGGAATGCGAAAGAAAAATATTCGCTTTTAGTAGCCTGTTCACGGCCATGGGCTGAATTCGAAATTCTGCGCGTTGCGTAATACTAGTTATGTTTGTTTGTATTCGCCCTGATACTGTTATTGGACCACTTTCTAATAAAATATGTAAGTGATAATGATGTAATAATTTATTTCTGCACCCTATTTTGTTCTGTCTGAGTTCTGATATCAATGCCTTCAGCTCTATTGGTCGACTCAAGAGAAAAGCAACAGATCGACACCTTTATCTTTGGCATTAGGCTAACAGACTCCTTTCAGCTCGACTTGCAATCTGTGAAACTTTCGTCATGAAAAATATATTCCTTGTTCGTGGAACTCGTTAGTACGCTTAACAGTTAAAGTAACTAGGTTTTGGTCGCCAGTTAGAGGTGAGATTTAAAGCGTTCCTGTGATATTGGGCTTGCACTTATTTACACTTGAATAATAACCATACACGCAACATTTATTAATTAACATGAAAATCGTTATTTTTCATAACTAAATCAGCCATAATCTGCCAACATCATTTAAAAAAAGGACTCGAACCAAAAACGATCAAGTTTTGATATTTTAGTTTTCATAAGTAAATTCTGCACTACTCAGTTTAATGTTCATACTGATATTCCTCATGCGGCAAAGTTTTGATATTTTAGTTTTCATAAGTAAATTCTGCACTACTCAATAAGTGTCAAATCCTTTGAACTCCATTTCCGAACGCCCGATCCGAGAGGCAATAAATCTAAGCTCATAATGACCGGGAGACCACAAATCCAACGCAGAATCCAAGCGCATATACTGTAGTTTCAATTCAATTCACTACCAACTCAATTCTCCCCGTGAAAACGACACTAACCTGCCGGCAGTTTGCTTCAAGAATTTCCAGTTTAGACGTTTCTAACTGCCCGCCTACACGTTCACCACGATACACGACCGTTAAAAACCAGCTTTGTAACCTTGCCTCCTTTTCAACCTGAGTCTCGCCGTGGACCACACCGTCACTTGGCACCCGTGGTTCCACGACGATATGTTGATGTTGATTGATCATTACCCTTAATGCCGAGAGAATTCAATTTGTCTGGGCAGTTTTCCTTGAAGTGACAGCTACAGTGAAGCTGTTCTGTTTGTGGATAGAACACTTTCATCGTTATTATCAGCCCTGCCTCCCAATCTGTTACAACACTTCTGAGATCTGCGATACCACTGTCCATTTCTAGAAGCTTAGTAACTGAGAGGCCAAGTGGCAGTACGTACTGTAGGTTCGGTTGATATGAACGAGAGTCTGTCCCGTAAAGATTTGCGTATCCCCGTCCTTACTATTTTAAGAACAAAATTCTTTCAAGTGAAAAATGGGAAAAAAAAAAGAATTATAAAGCCATAAACAGTCTACTTACCTCGCATATTTCTCACACTATTCCGCTAATTTTTCTTTTTTTTTTAGTGTTATGTTCTTTACATCAGTGATAAGATGTTTTTCACTTTTTTATTTCAATTTTTCTCTTTTTGCAAAAAAAATTATCGGTTCCAAAGGAACTTCGGCGGTCTGCTACTCCGCAGTTAATACAAGCATTATTGAGAATATTCGCTTCATTGACCTCTCAGTCGATGTTCTGTAATTGCTTCATATTAATTAATATGACAATGCTAAACCAGTTTATAGCTGATCACCTGACTTCTCTCCCCGAGGAGAGCAGAATCACAGTTGTCTATAATTGTTCGACTTTGTGTAACGTTGGGTATCTAAGTTATGGGTGAAATGCAAACAAATCAAAAGTTGTCGGAAATTCAATTCCTTCAAATAAGCATTGCTTCTTTATCAGGGGGTTGTGAGATGCCGCCGATCCCAAATTTATCTTGAAATAATGTGAGGGTCGATTCCACTGCCTGTCATGAACTTAGCCATGATTGAGGGTCAAACATTTTCTCGTCCGACCCGACCCTACTCAGTCTTCTAGCATTTTTCATAGGACTGACGGCTCTTTTTCCTTCTTTCTTTTTTTGTAATTTTTAATGACCCTCAAGTGAATTAAAGTCATTCATTTTCTTTTCTCGTTAAATCATGTTAAAGTTTCGAAACTTATCTTAAAAATTTTCAGGTTGGATTGTTTATCATTAAATCGTATTAAAATTTCCAAACCACTCTTTTGCTATTTTGTAGGTTGGAAGAGAAATACGGCCGACTTTTCTCCCTAAAAATGGGAAGCTACAAGGTTGTAATGGCAGCATCTCCGGACGCAGTTTATGAAATGCTTGTTACGAAATCAGCTGATTATGCAGGAAGACAGCAGACCTATGCTCTGTATTCAATAAACCTTGGTTAGTGGTCCTTCATATCATAAATCCGTCAAGCATGCCAAATTAATTATAGTATACCGCAACTTAAAAAAAGAAATTCTCTCTCTTTGGCCGCAGTCAAGCCTCTTCCTTGGTTTTGGTAATTGGTATAGGAGACCTGAGCACTCTTGCGTTCAGGTGATCTTGGTCAAATTCTTTATGGTTCTCGATACAACCACAATAACACTCGTGCTTAAAATCATTCTGGCGTTATTATCAGTTAACAATTCTAATAAATCTATCGCGATATTATTATGACGATAATTTTTGTGGAACCCTTTATTTTGCGTCATTGGATATTTCCACTGTAAAAATTGTAGCGTAAAGAAATGATGTCTTTATTACACTGTTTTTGCAGAAGTGGATAGAGGTAACTTAAACTTTTCGTGAATAACCGAAAAATTGCTCTGACTCCAATGTAAACTTTTTAACCTGGGAACCTGGTTGTTTTTCAGTAACACAACTAAGAAGTAACCCTTTATTTTGCGTCATTGGATATTTCCACTGTAAAAATTGTAGCGTAAAGAAATGATGTCTTTATTACACTGTTTTTGCAGAAGTGGATAGAGGTAACTTAAACTTTTCGTGAATAACCGAAAAGTTGCTCTGACTCCAATGTAAACTTTTTAACCTGGGAACCTGGTTGTTTTTCAGTAACACAACTAAGAAGTAACGCTTTCATGTTCAAGGGTTGTTTAAGTTAACATTTCACTCCTATAAGGCTAGAGGTCTAGTCGTCTTTGGAACATTCACTATCTGAATGTTAATTAGCCTTGTGACCCAGATAAACGTGGGGTGGTCACTTTTCAAGAGAAAAAGAATTGAGGACTATATAGATATCCTTGGGATGAAACAGTTGCATCGGAATCAAATATTCTTTTTTTTTTTTCTTACAGGAGGGAAAGATATTTTGTTAACTCACTATGGCCCTAGCTGGAAACTTCATCGCAAACTTTTCACAACAGCCTTACGCCAATACCTGTCGGATATTCCTCTAATCGAACGCCGAGTATTAGCACAAGCAGAGGCACTAACAAAATATATTGAAACACTGAAAGGAAAGCCTTTTGATCCCTCAGAAAGTTTAAATCGAACCATTGCTGACGTTATCTGTGGCATAACCTTTGGAGAGGGATACGACACCACCAATCCAAATTTGAACAGGCTCCTGAAGCTTAACGTTGATTTCGTGTCAGACCACGAGACTGCTCAGCTCGTGAAGATAATGGACTTCTTCCCTGTAACACAGTACCTTCCTATTGAGGCTTACGATCGATTCATTCAGCCTTTCTATGAAATGTTCGATATCATTCGCATATTTTTGCGAGAGCGAGAGAAGAATTTCGATCCTGAGAAACCCATTCAAGACTTGGTCTCGGGTCTCATTCTCGCTAAAAAAGAGGCCGAACGCGAAAATGACATGGAAAAGTCCGCTTATCTATCGGAGGATTACTTTGTTAACACCGTAGAAAACATGTTCTTCGCTGGCTACGAAAGTACAAGTACCGCTATGAAGTGGGCAATAGCCATGTTGGTTAACTACCCCATATACCAAGAGGATATTCAACGACAATTAGATGAGGTTGTTGGTGACCGAACGCCGTCTTTGAATGATCGACCCAATCTGCCCCTCATCCACGCTACCATCATAGAAACGCTTCGTATTGGAAACGTGGCTCCTCTTGCAGCGCCCCATTCCACCTTGAATGACACAACTCTCTGCGGCTACCGTGTCCCTAAAGGTACGATAGTGCTTCCTAACATAGAGTCAGTTCACCTGGATCCCAAATGCTGGGAGAACCCGACTGAGTTCAACCCTTACCGTCACCTTGACGACAAAGGAAACCTGATCACCAGCCAAGGTAACTATTTCCCATTCGGAGCGGGCCGACGGTTCTGTGCTGGCGAACCACTGGCTAAAGTCGAGTTGTTCTTGTTCATGTCGTGGTTGTTGCAGAAATTTACTTTCGTTGCGGAAGAAGATGGGTTTCCGCCAAAGTTGAAAGGCTTGTACGGCTTTGTACAATTTCCAGCTCCTTATAAGATACGCGCCATCAAACGAAAATGACATGGATTTTTGCCTAGTGTTTTTACTCTAGGAAAATCTTGGAGAAAATTATTTTGGTGGGTTTTCTTTGAATTTATTTTGCTTTATTTCTTGTCAATGAATACAAGACAATAACAAACAAGAGTCAACCTGGGTTGAAAATCTTAAACCAAAGATGAATTTAAATTGCATTACAAATTTGTGTTTGGAAGGTCAACTTCTCCCCTTGTTTTCTTCTTATTTATTTTATTTTCTGGGGGTTACATTCTGCTATCTTCAGCTGACATCTGGTCAGACATTCCAAGGAAAGGAGGGATGTTAAGGGATACTCCCAGAGGAAGAACATCTTCAGTTGTAAAAACCCTTGTCAGCCATTACAGAGTCTCCCTGTTCAAAGGGTAGTTTCAAAAAACCGCTGCGTTCAACCATTTTTTTATCAAGTATACTGCCAGTGTATAATTGTCCTATAAATGTTATTGACCCTTTAGGAGAAATGCCCGCCTATGCTTTTGGGGTGGTATGGTTCTTGTAAGAGGTAAATAACTCACTGTTTAACAGACGACTGCCAGGCATCTGACAGCGCACCTCGGTGCAATCGATTCTTACCCTTGTACTGGGATACTTTTATTTTGAAAGCTTCAGGCATCGATTTATCTACTACTTTCCTGGATGGCCAGATATTTATCTGGTCAAACTTTAAGTACATGAAATTAATCCACGAAACAAATATTCTACTCACAGTCGACTGAGAAATTTTAAACAAGTGTGCAAGGTGAATTCCAGTAAACCCTTGCCTCAGTCTGCACATTACCAGGAAATATTCTTCTGATGGTGTTACAGTCCTTAGCCTTCCATGCTTCACTGAATTACCAGCAGCAGCCGTTTGTGAGTCATCTTGGCTAGACAACCAGTATTTCATATTTTTTCCATTGACACCAGGATCTAAATATTCATACAGAGCCATCATTGTTAGGACATTTGGAAACTCAGTATGAAATGTCAACTAAGAGTAATCTGTTTTAACGTTGTCAAATGAAAACACGTGCTTTTCGAGTTTCTCGCATTTTTGCTCGAGAGAAGCAATGTTTCCCTTCAGGGATAACACCTCGCTCTCTAACTTTTCTTTAATTTCAGTAATGCAGCTAAAAGTTTCTCGAGTCGTGCAATTTCCGGATTTTCCTCGCACTGCAAATCAAAAATTTGTGAACTTTTTCCGAAAAATTTATTAAAAAACTGAAAATAATGTGAGTTTTCCTACCTAATAGCGCATCTAAGTAGCTCTCCTGGTAATGTTTACTTTCTAAGCGACCAGATGTGGCCTTTCCGACCTCGTTTTCATGCGCTCGATTCCAGACCATTCCGCGTGGCAGTCATTTATGAATACGGTGTATTGATAAGTTGGGAATGTAACAAACTAAAATCAAAGCCTACTTTAGTTAACGAGACCAATTTGACCTATTTTTTATCAATGAGGATTTTTCAGTCAAATAAATGGTAAATTGCACGTTTTCTTTGATGCCTTGGTTTCTTTGAAATAATTAAAATAATAAAAACATTGCCCTTTGTCCCACATGCTTACATTGTCAGTCGTGAAAATATTGGGCTCCAAGACAGCCATCTACCCTTGATAGCAATAAGACAAACCTTTCTTGATAATCGAACTCCTTAGAATATCACAACCTCTCTAACTTCTGCATTCTCCGGGTTAAGATTTTGGAGGCAGAATTAGAACCTTTTAAGGCTCTGGCAATAATGATCCCTTTTAAAAGAGGGAGAGAATTGATGACTCACAGTAGCCTCCGCCATGGATCGGGCTCTCTTCAGCCCGAGAGGATTGGGTCCTCTCGTTGCTAATAGCCGACCAGGATGATCCTATTTGATTCGCACTGGCAACCCAACATGCAAAGAGGAGATTATTTGACAATACATCCTCTCACTGCAGCACGTTAAATACTATCCCTTTTATCCATCATAGTTTGATGTCGACTGGATCAATTTCATGACGTGCGAAAACTAATAACAAGGTTGTGAGGCAAAATACAATTTTTTTTTTAATTTTAAATCAAGGAAGAGGATATTTCGGCCATGTGATTATCACGTCATTTCAGTTCTAAAAGCTATCTCTGAAGTCTGGTGCTGGATTAATTACTTAGGCTATGATATGATTGTTCGTGCTTTTAACAGTATGCACACTTTGCCTCACTGCAGGTATATTTGGCATTTCACAGGTGTTCGTTGATTGTTTAAAGAAAACTTTATCTGGGTTTATCCTCCTCATTACTTCACGAATAAACTACAACACAACTACGCTTAAAAGACTTATTCATTCTTGGATTGTATAGACATTGATGTTCATCAGGTGAAAGTAACTAGGCTGTCAATCTATGTCCAACGATATCAAGTCAAACTTAGCTACCGAATCACGCTGAGCCATGTAAAGCAGATCTAGCATTTTAAGAAAGCTCCTTCGAAATTTTGACTCCGGTTTTAAAAAGTCACTGTCAATCTGAATCTTCATACAGCCCAAATTAAGATACGGCAAAACAAAACTAAAGCACCAATATAAAAATTGTAAGGAACTTCCCGACAAAATAATAGAATTACAATGAAGTTGGTTACAATTCAAATCCAAAACTGAGTAGAATATTATTTTCACGTTACAAGGGTGAGTAAACCACAATCGCCCAGGTGTACATTGCTAAAGAATTACTAAAGGCTTTCGGCTTTGAAACGATATACACAAAAACTGTTCTGTTATAAAAAAATCGCGAGAGAAGCTAGAGAAATGGCGTAATCATATCAACGATGGTTGAGAGCGCCTGCTCATTTCCTTTTGACGGCGCGGATCTTGTATGGAGACGGAAACTGAGTGCCGCTAAATTCTCTCTTCAAGCTCGGAGGATGACCCTCTTCTTCAGCGACAATACTAAACTTCTGGAACATCCACGACAGAAACAAGAACAGCTCAATTTTAGCCAGTGGTTCGCCTGCACACACCCGTCGTCCAGCTCCAAAAGGGTAGAAGTTGCCTTGGTTGGTGATTAGCTTACCATTCTCGTCGATATGACGGTAAGGATTAAACATAGTGGGGTTTTCCCAACACTGAGGATTCAGATGGACAGACTCTGTATCGGCGAAAACGATCGTATCTTTCGGAACACGGTAGCCACACATTGTGGTGTCGATAAGAGTGAGGTGAGGCACGGCAAGAGGCACTACATTTCCAAGTCGTAGCGTTTCTATGATGGTTGCGTGAATCAGGGGCAGATTAGGACGATCTTCGAGAGAGGGACTTCGTTCACCAAGTACCTCATCCAACTGGTGTTGAATATCCTCCTGGTACTTTGGGTTGTTCACCAGGAAGGCTATCACCCATTTCATCGTGGTGCTCGTAGTCTCATAGCCAGCAGCAAACATGTCTTCGATAGTGTTGACTAGGTAGTCGTCGGAAAGAAAGGCGTCTTTTACCTCATCACTCTCCAACTCAGCTTGGTGTTTGGCATGCAGTAGTCCGGTGATTAAATCCTTAACGGGTTCTTCTGCCTCAAAACTTTCTTTTTTCTGGCTCAGGAATACGCGAATAATATCGTATATTTCATATATGGGCTGAAGAAGTTTATCATAAGCCTTGAGGGGTAAGTACCTTGCAAATGGAAAGAAATCCATCATGAGAATCAGCTGATTACTCTCAGTATCTGCCACAAGGTCTACGTTAAGTTTTAGTAACTTGTTCAATCTTGGATCTGTTGTGTCATAGCCTTCCCCAAACGTTATACCACAAATGACATTAGCAACAGCGTGCTGCAGGCAGTCTGCAGGATCGAAAGGTTTTCCACTTTGATCGTCCATGAACTTGACAAGTTTCTCTGCCTGTGTTGAGACCCGCCTTTCAATTAATGTTGCATCGGAAAGGTACTGGCGTAAGGCGGTAATGAAGAGTTTCCGATGAAACTTCCAAGCTAGACCATAATTACCGAACACAATATCTTTACCACCTGTGTGCGTAAAATTGGATGTTATCTTGAGATCGAAGAGAATATTTGCTAATCATGTTGGCCTTCTTACAACTTTTGGTCCGAATGATGACACACGATCCCATCTTACTCTACTATGATGCTATAAATTCAAAATAATTGAAATTAGCCTTAGGGGATTTCAAAGATAAAGCTTGCTTACCAAGCGTAAATTTTTCTAGGAAATATGTTTGTTGTCTTCCCGCATAGTCAGCTGATTTCTTAACAAGCATCTCCTGAACAGCTTTGGAGGATGAAGCCATCACGAACTTATAGCTTCCAATTTTTATGGAGAAAACGTTGCCGTACTTGTTTCTGAGACTGCAAGAGAGAACAGGGACAACACGTTTAGGGATTGTGTGGTGTGGTGAAGAAAATCAATCAATGGTATGAAGGAAAGGAAACAGTTACAGCTGTTGAAAGAATGATCAAAGGCGAGGAAGACTCGATCATCCATCCAAATGGTATATCTGTTTGCTTTCTTCATCCACTGATGAACGTTGAATGGGAGACGATCGTAGAAAGCTCATCGTTTTGATAATCGTACGAAAAAAAAAGCTTATCTTTTTTTTGCGTTTTCCGCGGCTGTTTTTCAGTCTCGTTACGCAACACTGACTCTAATCCCTGGACGTCACGCTTTCCTAATTCCTTCCGTTACGTGACCTCTATAAATAAGAATGGGAGTAAACAACTGCTGCTAGAGACCAGAGGCTTGTTTCCATGAGATAAAATTTCACCTGTTTTGCGTCTGTGCACATTAAAAAATTGGCGAGCTTCTTACATGACCGAGGCTGGAGAGAGAAGTTGATCGCTATTTTCTTGTAAACACGTCAAGTTTGGTGAAAAAGTAAGTAGTCCTAATTATCATAATTATTTTGCTATTTTTAGTCTTTCGGTAAATCACACATTCTCTCTCGGGAGGGTTACAAATCGCTTTTAAATCTAAATCGGCCATTTACAAAAACAAGGGTCTTTACAACTCTCTCCCTGGACGTCACGCTTTCCTAATTCCTTCCGTTACGTGACCTCTATAAATAAGAATGGGAGTAAACAACTGCTGCTAGAGACCAGAGGCTTGTTTCCATGAGATGAAATTTCACCTGTTTTGCGTCTGTGCACATTAAAAAATTGGTGAGCTTCTTACATGACCGAGGCTGGAGAGAGAAGTTGATTGCTATTTTCTTGTAAACACGTCAAGTTTGGTGAAAAAGTAAGTAGTCCTAATTATCACAATTATTTTGCTATTTTTAGTCTTTCAGTAAATCACACATTCTCTCTCGGGAGGGTTACAAATCGCTTTTAAATCTAAATCGGCCATTTACAAAAACAAGGGTCTTTACGACTCTTAGTTTTTGTTTAAAGAGCAAGAGGGAAACAGAAGCACGAGGATCTAAAACTACTCAAGCGGAATGACCCCTTAGTGTTAGGTGCAACTTATCTAAAATGCAAATTCTAGTTGAAGACCACTGTGCCTTCGTATTAACCATTACTCTACTGCAAAAAATATTAGTGACTCTTCTTATGCATCTTCGTAATTTCTTTTGCCGTATTTTATGAAAGGATACTGATTTTTGTTACAATCCAAACAATCTACACTCTACGTTGTTATTGTGTAATCGGTTTTGTTACAACTATCCGAGCAGTAATGAGTTAAGGCTTCAGACCCATTTCAGAGAGCGATACCTCCCTAAAGATAATAAATCGCACTACTGTAGACAAGTTTGACATAGCTCGTACGCAATTCTTTTAGTTCTTTCATCGAAAAATTCCTAAGATCGCTTGAGCCCTGCGATTCACCATTTATTTACCTTTTGAAAGCGTCCGAGAGTAAATCTGCTTTGAAGTCGAGGGAGAATATGTTCCCCAGAATTGGGATAGTCGTCAATCTCGGACCCGGAGGCATATTCCTGAACTCGTACAACACCAACAGGTAATGGAGCATCAGCATGAAAAGGAAAAGTAGTAGGACATTCCCTAGAGTGAGACATTCATACATCGTAGAAGCAACCGATGCCATGATACCTCGCGGTTGTCGCTCTCGATATGTATAAACGGAGGAATTGTAAACATTTCGCTCTTGGGGGTGGATGCATGTATGTAATTAGATAGTTTTGGGGCCAGTCACGCAGGGTGAGTAGAGTTTGATACATACAACAACGGTGTTTTCTAAACTTAAGGTATTCGTGTTTTTAGCCTGAAGAACAGGCGTAAGACGAAAGGAGATTGTTTCATATCACACTCAACGACGGATCCTTAAAAGTAACTACCGAATCGATAAACGATTTTAGTCCCAACAAAGTCGACAGTAAAAGTCAATGAATTCCTTAAAGGGCATGTAAACCCAAAAATACATGTTTTTCTTATACTATGTAAAAAGTGGCGTAGAAGACGAATTTGAAATTCGTTTTGTCCAATTCGACTTATTTTAGGAGAAAATCGGCATTTTCAACTGAAATCCATTTCCGGTAAAAACAATAGCGAGAAATCGTGACGTAAGCGGTGGAACTAAAATATTGCGCAACACATATTCCCCAGTAGAACTGGTGTGGGAGTTCGTGTAAGTAGCGGTAGTTTGGAAGATGTTTTTTCAGAAGATAGCGACTCGAATGCCTGAAGCTTAGTATATGACAGCGATGGGGATAATCCAGAATCTTCAGGAGAGTTTGGGACACGTCCTTAACAATATGAGCCGCGTAGTGTGCACCGAAGCGATCCGCACGAAGACAATACAGAACATGTCGACAGCGATGCGACCTCCTCGGAAACACAGACTGGTATTTAATTTACTGTGTTATTTATTTGACATGAAAATCCAATAAAGCGAGGGTACAATCTAAAAGAATGCAACAGAAATTTTGAGCTTCTGAGAGTGTTTTATATAAAACTATCAAAGGTGCGAGTGTGGAACTTGTCTGTAAACCAGAGTAGCATGAAACCATGTCTGATTGTCCACCTGGTTACCATGTGAACCTTAAGAATTTTTTTTGGAACAAGTTCCTTGGTACATTTTTGGAAGGAGGTAAGTATTTTCGTAGGACAACCATCGTGTAGCGTTAATTTGCGATTTTTACGATTGTCATATCAATTCTAGCTGATTGAATGCCGAAGCGAAATCCTGCTCTAGCAACGACTTATTACATATGAATGATTTCCATTTATCTTTGTTCTTCGAATTCATACAAACTCCCTGTGTCACTCAAAATATACATACCCTAAAATTATGATACGTCGACTCAGGAAGCGATAGAAATACAAGGCCTTGATGGAATATTACTCTCGATGATCAGCCTTAGTCACAATACAAATTTCATCTTCATTTGGTTTCGTAACAGAAGCGTTTCCCCAAATAGAGTTTCTCCAAATAAAGTATCAGTATTCTCCACCGTTTGTTGCATTATAAACAGTTTATTGAAAATCTCCTCACCTCAGAAATCCAAGCGTAATGTAATTTACAGAGGTATGTCATCGTGTTTGAATTGAGGTAACTTTTAAAATACTCTAATTGAGGAGATGCTAAGAGGCGCGGTGGCCTCGTGGTTTGTGCGCTCGACTCCGGATCGAGTGGTCCGGGTTCGAGCCCTGGCCGGGGTCATTGTATTGTGTTCTTAGGCAAGACACTTTACTCTCACAGTGCTTCTCTTCACCCAGGAGTACAAATGGGTACCAGCAAATATGCTGGGGGTATCCCTGCGATTGACTAGCATCCCATCCAGGGGGGAGTAGCAATACTCCTAGCCGCTTCATGCTAAGGAAAACGGAGTTAAACGCCGGCCCCATGGGTCATTATGGCCTGTATAAAGGCTTTGCTTACTTTGAGGAGCTGCATCATACTGGTTGCACTGTGAATTATCTAATTTTACGGAAAAGCGCTGAATCAGCAATGGTGTCCACAATTGCAATCACTTGTGGTTATTTCACTTTTGGAATTGTCCTTCTTATGCTGCTTCTCTTGCTGCTGTTACATAACCTGTTTGTGCTCTTCTAGTTCCGGAGAATACCGCCAGGTCCTCGCTTCACAACTGCTCCATTTGTAGCAAATTTATTTTCACTCGATCTTACGACTGAAAACCCCACGGACGCTCTTTAAAGGTAGTTCAAGAACAGAAGTGATGATTTTTTTTCTTTTATTAAGGCTTCCCCTTCGTCTATCGATTTACTTAATGGCCACGTTTGTTCTTAGATTGTATGGAATACGAAATTGAAAAAAATTTTGTGGTTTGTCGTTTGGTCAAAACACCAACAGTGGAGTTTAAGTTGCTTAACACTAATAGATACCTTCCACGCAAGCGCAACAGGGTGAGGCAGGGTTCCTGTGGCGCCCGCGTCTTTGACCGCTGACTGTCCTTGATTTCTGGCCATGACGTGTTAAAGACAATGAAATGAGAGCTAAAAAGCAGGGGAAAGCAAAGAATTTCTACACTTCCGAATTTTTTATCGTACCAACAAAAGGTGTATGGTGCATCCTTCAATGACGTAAGAGGAAAGATGATTCTAGCGATAAGACCAGGTGGCCGGTAGTATTTGAGACATTTGTTAAACTGTGGTAACGACGGTTCATCTAGTCTCGTTTGGAGTTCAGCTGAGGTAAGGCAAATATTTATCTATCACTACCCTTGTGTCTGAACGATCAACAAAACTTTATCCAATCTTTATCTAATCAAACTACATGAGTAGGTTGTCAAAATTAACGGCATGGCTTGCGTGTAGATTGAACGAGTATCACGGCTTGGCAGGTGATCAACGACTATTTTGATGTTGTTGTTGACGGAGAACGACTAATGTGAAATTCACATACTTAGCCCAAAAATGAACGAATTAATGCAATGAAATACAAATTAAATTCAGGCTACCCAATGAATAATTATGAAAACTGTTTGCGCTCGCTGAGCCATAATAAAGCTAATTCTATGAGTTTTCATCTACATTTTAGTCAAAAAGTCGGTCATTCTGTCGCTATTCTCATGATTAGGGCTGCACTATCAACCAAAGTGATCGATTTCCCTCATACAGGCAATCGTTATGATGTAACCCTCTGAGCCCCCATGAGGGACAAGACGAAAAACATCTTTCTCTATTTCTTTACCGAGCTCAAAACCTACCATTTCTCTTGTTCTATTCACAAACATGCCGCTGTCGACATTGCTGATCCTAGCAGTATACAGGAAGCGTGTCATGTGAACTTCGTGATAGACCTCGCTTACCGTGGAGTCTCTGTGGCTCAGTAGTAGAGCATCAAAGCGAGGAATCCGAAGGTCTGAGGTTCGATTCCTCATGGGGACTCAAAATTTCTTCTTTGTCTCACGCTCGTGACAAGACGAAAAACATCTTTCTTCATTTCTTTACCGAGCTCAAAACTTACCATTTCTCTTATTCTATTTACAATAAATATGTCTACAAAAATTGATTCCGAAAATTCTATCTCTCGGTTTGATCTGCTGGTTTCAAAACCACATGTATTTAAAGAAACTGTTTTGTATTCGACAGAAAAAAAGTGAAGGCCACAGTTTCTGTCATTCTATTATTTACATAACGGATCGACAGAGAAACCGAAAATTGTGGGTTTTATGCAAATTTTGCGAAGATTACGTAATGAATCCCTTTTTAACCTGCACGACTCCAAGTTCAAAGGTTTTTCTTCTACCTTTGCCCTAATCAAGAGAATTATGGAAAAAAGTGTGGATGTTAAGCTTGCGATTTTTGTTGAAAAAATGATTGAAAAGCGCTTTCCCAGCTTTATCTACATACGGAAATCAAGTCTACAGGAAAATATGCGTTTATCAAAACTGTGCACATTGACAATTCCACATAAAAAGTTAGAGAAAAAAACTGTTTCACAGTTATGCCTTATTTTAAGGCTTTTTTCGGATTGTTTAAGAAACTCAAGTTCTTTCTGAGGCTGGCCTGCAACAACAATCTCTCACTGATTATCAAGAAACTTATTTTCAATTACGTTACATGGGAATCAGATCAATTAGCAAATTTCTGAAACAGCCTCGATGGTTCACGGCAGCGAAAATTTTATGTAACAATTGTTTGACCGGCATGTATTTGAATGTTTAGTAAGTATTATATTGTTAGAATTAATTTCTCTAACACTCGTTGTTGGTTTGGTTGATCCTTCTTTATTTTCTTTCCTTCTCAAGTTTTTCTAACGGGGACTAGCTTCAATATATTAGGGAAAACTAGAGTCTCTGCTTATAAAGGTGACACTGCGGATGACATTTCTAAGCCGTCAATCTTCTTGTGTCGTCATCGTACCATCTCAACTAGCGAATCACGCTTGACTACGTATTATAGTTCCCACATACTGAGTATGCACCTTAGGGTTGTCTACGCAGTTACAAAATCAATTTCTTCCTTAATTTTCATATCTTTACGGTTGAGATCGGCTAGAACAGAAACGAGATCGACAATATAAAAATTACAAATAACCTTGGTTCAGAGTATTATTTATACCTGAAAGTGTATCTTAAGAGAAAATCACCTTTAAAGATTGTTACATAACAACATCTTGGTCACAAGAGTTAAAGAAGAAAGGCGCTCACAAGTACCGCCCCCAAATTGCTTTTGGTTGCGAAACATGAGGGGTATCACCTGTTTACCCTTAAATTACCTCTGGGAACACGAAGGTGTCGAACGCGATCTATTACCAGGGAGATTTACTCTTCCTGGACTAACAAATTAAATTATTTAAGAACATGGCTTATCATGAGTTCCATGTCAACCTCACCATCACAACGAAGAAAACGTGATTAAACTCACAAGGAGAACGTGGCCAAACTCAGAAGAAGAACGTGATCAAACTCGACCTTTAAGATAAGACCACCAAGAAGGAGTACGAAGTAATCAACCTACCCTTTTTTATAATTTACATTAAATGACTTAAAATAATATAACATTTACATTCCTTTTCTTTCCAACACAGGAAAACCTTACGATATTGTAGATTACCTATAATTGTAATTTTATCATTTAACAATATTGGACTGCGCCTCACTTACAATTTACTCATCACTTCGCTCTTGGCTTTCTTTTAGATTTCTGTCTTAGATCATTTAAAGAAGGTAATCAATGTCTCATGGCTTTTAGAAGCACGCGTTAACCTGAGAGAAGATAGCGACAGGAAATTCAGCCTCAAGAAATTCATCCTCCACTCGTCTGGGAGTAACTAAATGGAGAAGGAGATCTCTACATCAGCCAGAATATTCTTGGGAGTCTTTCTTTTTCTCTTGGCTGCGATTGGCATTACTGCTAACACCATTGTTGTTACAGTTCTACGATTTAGGAGTGACTTCAAGAGAAAGACCACGAATGCGATTCTGACCAGCCTTGCTTCTATAGGATTTTTTGGTTGTGCAATAGACATCCCGTTGGCCTTAAGCACAATGGTGGCATCTCCTGCCGAGTTTCATCGACGAAACTTATTACTTGCACAAGCAGCTCTTGGTTCATTCCTCTTTTGGGGCTACATTACGTCCTTCTTCTTGCTAAGCATTGATTTGCATGACACCCTAAGAAGAGCCTTAAATAGGCAGGCTTATCTTTCAACCAAAAGAATATCGATGGTGTTAACACTTGCTGCAATACCTGGTGTTGGAATCTCTGCAATATTTGTCATCAAAGGCAAACACTTTATTCCCTATGTTCCGCTAGACAAAGGGCCCATATTTCTTACGATTATTCGATCCGTATTATTCATAGCTTTGGTAATTTCCGTCTCTTCAAATATCTATTATTTTCTTAAAATAAGAAAACTGATTAAGAGTATCTTCAATGATGTTGGTACCAGTTCTTCACGAACGAGGAGGAACCAGAAGTATTTCAAGGGGAGAGACATTTCCTGGACGGTGATCCTAATTATTCTGGTTTTTTGTTTTTCATACCTGCCCTATATGGCATTTTCCATCGTATATGTTAAAGCAGAGGTACGTTGTTCAAACGCCATTGTCATCTGTCAATCGTTCACCTACCTGAAATATGCAGTTAGCTCACTAATTTTTGCAAGAGCTGATGGAAGGTTTCTGAAAGTATTTGTTAACATTGTTCGAAGAGCCGCACGAAAGCAGGAAGAACATCGAAACAAGTCAGAGGACACCAATGCTATCAATAGGAGACAGACCACCACAATTCGTAAGAAAGATTTCTCCGGAAGTAGCAGTGTCCAACACTTAGTATTAGGGGAAGGTATCGAAGAGTTAGCAAAAACTGAGACACGAGAGTCTATGAATCATCCAAATCAGCCACAAACTATTCTGCAAGCAGCTGTAGCAAGCCCACATCAGTATTATCTACCCAAAATTATGATAACAACACCTGAAGGAGGTAGAACCATTTTGTTCAACCAAACCAAATTTCAATAGAGAAGCTTCGATGTGCGAAAGCAGGGGCGTGGACGACGTGTCGGGGTGCTTTTGGAAAGTTCAGTAGGATATACCCTTGCCTTGGCCACGCGTTAAGAGGACAGTTGAGCTACTCTTTGTCTTCCCTAACTCATCAGTATTTCCGCCCTTGTTGTCTCTTCTGGTCAAATCGTGAACTTGAGTCCTTCTTCGTCAATAATGCAATTTTATAACTTTTTCAAAAATGACTGAATACATATGCAACGTTATGAAGCGTTGATCATTATTTTGTTAAGTAATTGTCATGTTAACATTGAATATCTTGACGTAGACTGAAAAACCGGAGTAGTCCTGCACCACTCAAAAAAGACGTATCATAGCAAATTCAAACTGATTAAAGTCATCAAATGGCCACTTAAGTTCTAATTAATAAACGATTACTCCATTCGCGCTTGGTGGATATGAGATGATGGCTAGCCAACGAGGCACGTGGGGCTGTGTTGGCTATAATCATCTCATGTCCAACAAGCGCGAGTGGAATAATTGCTTCATTAAAAAGGCCCCAAAATATAGACAAATCTTTCCAACTTGGTTTTGTAAAAACAAATGGAATATTACAATGTACAAACACTCTTCGGGATCAACTCTTTTTCAGTCGCACGCATGGTATATTGGCTCATAACCCATGATAGCTAGGCCAATGAAGACTCTGGAATTGCATTATCTAATGATCCAGTCTTTAATAAGAAGTTTTATGCTAGATTTTCGAACCATGTCGTTTTTTTATGGTGTCTATATAGTCCTAAATATAACTTGAGAATGGTAATAGATAGACTTCATCCGAATAAAGATTTACCCCTTAGGTTCGCCTCTCTTAAAAGCCACGCTTGGCCAGGCAGATCAGCCTGAAACTAATTTTTCATACCGGTATATAAAGACAAAAATTAATGGTTTTGTGTCACTCAAAATAAATTATTATGCATCTTTTAGAAGTAGTGGGATCTTTTTCGGAAAAGATAAGGCCAGGATCATGCACGAGAAATCTCAAATGATGAGAAAAATTGTATGACTCTTTAGGCTGATGGCGCATGATGAGAGTGTCAATCAAAATGGTGGTTTACACGGATGATATGAAAAATATCGACGCCTGTAACTTTGAAAAAACAAGTTATACGTTACCGCTATTGTAATCGGTATATACTGTTTGCTATGGATTCTAAAGCGAAACAGTGCCACACGCAGACGTGATTCACTGTCACTCAGACTCAAATCCTGTTTGATCAGTCTCTTTCATTTCCTTTGCGTGAAAAAAAAAATCTTTGTTTGTTTATTTTCAAAGTGTATTAGTACATTTGTTTCTCATTGTCGGTCCCAGGCCGTACTGGAAAGTAGCAATGCGGGGCTGAAAAGGCCAGGTTACATAGCTACGTGATTGCATTCCCCGCGCGAACACTACAGCATTTCGAAGAGCCATTCGGCTTCGAAAGTCGTCCAGTGAACTCGATCGATGCTTTTGGCTACCTGCAGGCCATGTTCGCCTTCCTGCTACGAAAAATGCAAGCACAAGATGGCCAATAAGACGGTTGTGACGTTTTTTAGGGCAGGACAGGAGGTGTGTGTTGTGAAATCTGACAAGTTGCTACTGTAACTGCCACCTCAGCCTCAAAGTGTCCCCGAAAAACCAAGAAAGAGCGACAAAAGGATGGAATTCGTTTCTTTGCCATTTCAGGTGTCTGAGCAGGAACTATGAGACGCTTCCCTTTGTCGTAAGGACGTGCTGTAGTGGACAGTCCTCTCCTAGAACTCACAAGGAAAGACAATATTTGGATTGTTCGTGGATAGTAGCGATGAGGTGAGCTCTGTTTTCTCATGACGATAATTACCATCCAAATGAGAACTTAACATTTAACCTAAGCATGAAAATTGAATTGATAGCAATTAAATTTCAGGTAATCACTGAGTATTCAACTTTGTCTCTGCACATGCATCATACGAGTTTTTTTCGAGTAACCAACATTTTTTCCCTTCAATAATTTTATTTCTTAGTGACTTAAGTTTTAACCCTTTCACTCTAAAGATCTAAGAATCTACTCTCATCAGTGTTTTTGCCACAACTTTTGATTAATTTCACTGTATTTCTAAACTTTGGTGTTAAATGAAAGATATTCTTAAATTAGTGTAAATTTCTTTCCAATGAATGTATTGAAAAGGGGAGGAGAAATTCGTTTTTGGTCGCTTCTCTTTCTCCATTCCCCTATTCACAATTTTCTTTGATTGAAAACGAAATTCTCTGGACAAGAATTAATGTGATTGCATTTTTGGAAAGAAGATTTTATCTTCTTGCAACAAGATCACATCACAGATCACAGAAGGGAATTCTTCTGGTGAGAATGCTTGACATCTAAATATCTTGAGAAGAGATCAGAATTCTTGGTGGTTAAGAGCTCTTCTGGAAAGAGTTTCAATTCCAAATCTTCTGAAAAGTAGAGTAATTTCAGAAATCATTAAATAAGTATTAGAAACTTTGTTAGAATCCAGAATCATAATAATAATCATAATAATTTCAGAAATCATTAAATAAGTATTAGAAACTTTGTTACGGAATCCAGAGTCATCATGGGAATTCTTTTAAACAAACGATATATAGATCTTGATCAGATCTATTGAGTGTGACTTTAGTTACACAACCCCTTTGAAGACAGGGCATTTTCATACTCATGAGTATAAATTTTGTATTTTGCAAAAGTAGATTATTTCAGGAACTAAAGACTTTTTGCTCTGTCCAGTTATCTTCAATGCAACCAAAGTAATCCTTATGTTGTCTGTCAATATGCAGCTGATCAATTTTAAATAATTTGAGGGTATGCAATATTCCTTGAGTGACAACTTGCTAGCCTCACTTGAAATCATTAAAAAAGAGATCATAAATGGCACAAAGAGCCATAAATAGGAGGTACAGGTGTATGGAAATAATTCTCCTTTCTTACATAAAAAATTACAATATATAGAAACCGTCACATGCGAAGGTAAAGGGGAAAAAAAAAAAACAGTTCACAAGGCTCTGTAGTATTCCTTTGCCTTTAAGAGAAAGAGGGCATACCTAGGGCTAGTACTCCACCAATGAGTACTGCCTTACCCACAATTTCTCTACAGAGAGGTTGCGGTCACAGGTGATGGACACTGTGTTTGTCTTGTTCTTGAAGTTTCTGCTCATGTTTTTGGCCAGAAACAACCCTAGCACACACAACACAGTCTCTCCTGTCTTCTTCTACAGACATTTAATAGTACTGCCTGTTAAGTCTCCTAGCATCCATTACAGAAGGAGGCCTGGAAAGTGGATGGCCAGCAGGAAAACTTTTCCCTTCTAAAATATGGTGCACAATGGCAATTCTAAAATAAAAGAGTTCTTGGCATGTCAGCTTTACTTTCTTCAAAATGGTGAAGGAATTTAGCACACACACACACTTCAAGCCCATAATAGAAAACTTTTTTCAGGCGTTTGACTTGTGTATAACTTTAAAGATCTGCTGAATTTGGTCCAACAAATCAACTTTGCCCATATACTCCTTATACTGTAGGCACAAGTGCTCTTCCTCTTGCCTGTCTTCTTGTACAAGGTAGAATTGAAAATTAAAGACATAGCTTTTATTGGCTTCAAAAAGCACCCATTGTTTGATTCCCTACCCCACAGGCTTGTTCTTTATATACTGCTTGAACAAGATTCTCCCTTCTTGAAGAACCATTATCTTATCAGTTAAAACCTCCCAGTCAAGTCTGTACAGTCTGAGAATTTCTCAAAATACAATTTGAAAATTGCGTGACACGATAAATTTTATTAAAATCAGGGTCCTCCCTGAGGAGGTCTCTAGCATTGTTCACTCAGTGAAGGTACTTCCATTATTGCAAAAAGTGCATCTGGGTCATGATAGAGTTGACACATTTCTTTATGGAGGTGGTTGTCTGTGTTCTAGTACATGTAAGCTCATACATGCAACAACTTTACGATGCCCATGTAAATCATAGTGCTGATGAATGCATTCCTGTGTGACAGGACTCCACTTTCTCTTGTGTTTGCTGAGTTGAGCTGCTACTTGCTGCTCATGGTAGCTATTGGTTGCTGTGACAAGTAGCTCTTGCATATCAGTGGTAAATATGGCATCAAAAAAATGTTCCTTCCTTACAGTCTACAAGATATCGTTGCTTAGGACCAGGGGATGGTTCTGTAAATTGCCTGCCTGCTACTTTTTAGACCAAGCATTTGGGGGTTATGAGGTTGAACTCCACCTACATGTAAAACTATTCCATGACCTCTTTCAGAATTGCCTCACATTGTGCCTCTGAAAGAGTTAATTTGGCTAATTCTCCTTACTTTCACAAGGAGAAAATTTCTCATTAACTTTTTAAAATCAATTCATACATTTGGACGCATTTTATTATATACAAGTACATACAAATATTGTATACACAAAAAAAAAAAACAAAATGTGCCAAACAAGCTCTCTCACCACCAGAGTATGTTATTGTTAGATATTTAAATTGCAAGCAAAACCTCAATAGGGTAATTTTATATAAATTATATCCTTCCTCGTTTAAGTAAAATATTCTTTTTAACCTGAGCATTAGGAAGAAAATTGATGCTTAAACTTAAGTGTTAATATCACAAAGTAACTCTAGATTTGGGAAGTAATTGGCTAAATCAAAATAGCTATAATTGAATGTTAAAAGAATATTTCACTACAGTATGGTTGCAAGTGGATAAAGCACCATCCATTTATACATTATATCAAATACAAGTCTTTCATTATAAATTTGGTGTTATTCTAGATTAAAAACCATAAGATTAAAGACCATAAGAATTCTGTCACTCTAATAGTGCATTAGCAGCTTCCCTGGGGCAGATAAAATTCCCTTTGGTACTTGAGGAGTTAAAAAAGCATGAAGACAAATACACAAGCTCTGTGTGGAGCCAGATTTTTGTGAAAGCTTTATAAATGGGAATAGACTCTCTCATCTCTAAAAGAACTCTAAAAGTGTTCCATGGATAGTTACTGAGTTTGCCACATGCCATGGGAAGCAAGAGGAGTAAAACCTTTGGATGCAAGCACAGGCTTCTATAAACCTTTGACAATCATTAATACTGGTGATCCAGAACCAGGTTTGAATTCCCCTATTAAAAGGGAATGATCAAATGCCTTATGAGAGGTTGGTCAAATGCCTTATGAGCAGCATAATTGATTTTGCATCCTCTGCATTTAGAAAGAAAATTAAAGTCAGCATGCTTCAAAGCAATGACAGCATGCAGGGAGCTTTTTAATTTTAGGTGGTCTAAAATGCCACAATGTAGAGCATCACTAGCAACTTTAATTTCATCTGTGGTCATCTTAGGGTTGTAAAATGACCTAGAAATGAGTAATAAATATTTTGTGTACTAATAAATCTACACATAAATAGCCATAAGACCCACATTACTACATGCCAAGAAATAAAAGTAGCTTTTTTCTATCAGCAAAGCGAAAGGACTTTCAACAAATTCGTATCTGCAGTAACTATCCTCGCTCTTCAAGCAAAAGTTATATGATGATCAAATAGTATAGCTTGTGATCACAGAACTTACCTCAAAGAAAGTGAGTTCATATTTTCTGCAGGCTTCCATGAGTTTTCTAGGCTCGAATAGCCCTTCCATTTAATAAAATATTTGTTCTAAGTAATAATAAGATAATGAAAATTACATTAATTGAGATCAAACACCTCACGATTTCATGAAGTAAAGTAAAAACCATAGGATAAAGGGATATCAAGACATACAGTATGCTTACCTTTTCTTGTTTTACTCTCCTTGACGCCACTCACTCTACTTCATAAAATCTACTTGATTTTCTCTTCGTCCAGCTTTCTGAATAAAAATCTGCCTTGCTTAAAGTATTCAGCACCTTAGAAAATGAAAAATTTGACAATTTTTTTGAAATTATAATGGAACCTTCCATGCAGGCGCATTAGGGTGAAACATGGTTCTTTGACCACTGACTGTCCTCAATTTCTTGCCATGGGAAAAGTTATCCCCAGGTGATCCCATGGACTTAATTGGAGGGTTGCCATGATGGACAATGCCCCTTTTTCTTTTTCCCAACTTTCCGAAGGCTGTGTTCTTGTTTTGGATAAATGAACAGTTTAATCGAGCCAATTGGAGAAATGATCTCTGTGGTTCCAAATCTAAAGAATTACATGCATGCATGCATGTGTCCATCCATATACAACAATTTATTTGTTAAAGCAGGTTCGTAAACGATGGCAGCAAATGCTGATTGGAACCTGCTACAATTGCTAATAGAAAACTAAGTGAACAAATAGAAAAATAAATAGGAAAGAAGTAATAAAATAAAAAAAAACTTACAAATTATATGATAAGAAAGGAAACTGGCCTACTTACATTTACATGTACTTGTACAATTCTGGTGCTCTTCTCTTCATTGCATTGCACTGTCTATTAGGTGATAGAAATGTACCTGTCAACTTTTTGGTAAGCCCCTCATGGGAGCATTGAGTTTGTGAGCATTGTGTATAGGTAGATGGTGTTAAAGATGAATTTATCTTTGGTTATATTTTATATTTTTTCCAGAGAGTGTACTCTTCCGTTTACTACATAGAGTTTAAGGTGCCATTTGATGATATTGCATCACTTTTTTCTCCTCTACAAAATTTCTGGTTCCTTTAAGTTGAAAATGCAGGAGTCTTACTTTCCAACTGGCAAAATGTTTGCTCAAGATGGCTCCAAAGTTAGCACATGAAGGTCTTTCTTTGGATGCCTTGTCAATGGCAAGGACAGGGGATGGGTTGAAAGAAATAACTCGCAAC